ATGCAAAATATACTTACATACATACGGATTTGTGATCGTAGGTAAATGGATATATGCACATGTGTGTGTGCATTCAAATAGGCATGTGCATGTAAATATTAAATTCAGCACCACTAGTGCTTTCGCCACCCTAGTCATCAGCCATCAGCCACCAGCCGCCAACCGCCAGCCATCCGCAGACGCAGCAGCAGCAGCAGCAGCAGTTGACATCAACAATCCCCATCGCTCCAAACAGCCGACATTCAAGTGCAAGCGCTTATGGCGAATGGCGAATGGCGTTGGCGTGCCCCGCTTGTGCTTCTTTGTTCTCTACTTATTCCGTTGCGCACAACAGCCTCAGCAAATAAAATCACTAAATTTAAATTTTAAGCCACACCCACTGTGTCAGTCAGTTAGTGGCGGTAGCCGCACAATCCAATGGGTATAGTAAAATTTTAAAATGTATAAAATGTTGTTGGCGCGTGCTTTACAATCTCATTTGCCACACAAACACATACAAACTCATGCACATGTGCAGAAGTTGCTATACAAACAGACGTCACCCAAACACCACACTTTGGCTTCATACGTTTACCGAGAGTTAGACTCTATCGACCAACGGCTCGAGTGCAGCACAGCACGCTCACTCACCGATAAAACCAACACACTCACAAAACGCCATGTACTCTCTGAGAATGCTGAGCATTTTCGCTCAACTGCAGTGGAGAGCCTGTGGAATCTATTTGATTCACATGGGGGATGTGGCTAAGAGCACGTTTGCTATTTGATTAAAATATGAAATATGTTAAACTTAGAGGTGTAATTGGAAGATTCTATTTGAACAATGTCGTAGGTGTAAATATAGAAAAACGGATCATCAATTCTTCTTTCATGTTTTCTTATTTGCTACACTCGCTGAATGCTTGCTTCTCTTTGAGCGCAAAGCTCATAGCTCTGTAAGTATGTGTGTTGTATCCGCAATGATTCGCACTCATTCATTCTCGGATGTGGAGCATTTCAAAAGCAGCGATGTCAGTTGGGGTTTCGTCGCTAAACTAGTTAAACGCGTTTTGTCTTACGGATTCTCTAGCAAACATAGAGCCATTCGCATTCGTATTCGCATTCGCCGGTTGTGAGTAGAATTCTATTCTTTTGTGGACTTCATCCCCGAAACGACACTACAAGTATCTCATATCCATGTTGCCCCTAGTGCGAGAACTCTAAAGAAAGACAAAATTCGCCAAAGCAAGAAAATAGAAAGAGTGAAATCATATAGAAACGTGTCCGGAGTTTGGGGTAGAAATGAGAATTTGCCATCTCAAACTCGGAAAGTGTTCAATCAAGTAAGAAAATGCAAATGCGACTGCACATACACCAACTAACTCGTATCGCCCTATGTACTTAGATACGTATACATTCATGTGTCAAACTTTTGGCGAAGGCAATAAACTAAGTTCATGGGAATCACAAAGAAGACCGGCCAAAACAGTTGTAATTCAGTCTCGCTAAGCATCGGACCTTTGAACAGTTGAGTCCCCAACAATTTGAATATCGCAGATTGTTTGCTGAAACACATCTTCATCGCTGTTGACAATCGGACACTCGAATAAAAGTACATTAAAACAAAATAAGAAAATAACATTCCAAGTGTGCAAGCAGGAACTCGCACTGTATACAATTGCACTTGTATTACACTAATCAAGTTCTGCATATATGAATAAGTAGTTCGATGTGTGTGTATGTTACAAGCTCCACAAGATAAAGTGACTCCAACATATCCGTCTATGAGACGTAACATCTGATTACACTGTAAGCGCGTGAAATCTCGAGCGTTATTGCTGTTCGCATAGCCAAACACAACGCCAGTCAGCCGATAACAACAACAACGATTCATAATCATTAGTAAACATTATTGGAAACCTTAGCCAGCGACGTCGAGAATCGAGCGTCGAGCATCGAGGTGTTTTGTGGGAAATCATCTTATCGGTATTTTAGTTTTCTGCGAAACACAAACGCGCTAGGTCATGCTCAGCACACAATCGCTCAGACATTAGCGGAAAATAACTCCGAGTACATATGTGAAATATAATAAAGTAGAGTACGTGTAAATCGAAAGCATAGAAAAACTTAAACGCTCCCTCCATTACTCTATTAGTTATAAACAATAAAGTGGCGACCCAAAATTCGTATAAATATAATCAACCTAGTTTAGATATAATAATTAGATAATTAATCGGAAAAGCAAAATATTTCGGTGTATAATTCGTGAAAATGGTTATGTCGGAGTTACGTTGGAGCACAGGACCTAAAGACAATAACAATTCGTTGAAGCATGATCTGTTGAAAACACCGACAAGTGGGCACATCATGCAGAACAGATGTAAGTAAATACGATTATATACCTACATATGTATGTATATACATATTGGGGCATTACAAGCATCATAAATTTGCATTGTTTTGAAGTGATGTCGTTGCATGAATTACTAGTTTAAATTAAGTGATAAATATTGTTGACATTTGTTAGTTCACTCACTTATTTAGTCAAGTTTTTAAATTTTGGTAACAAAAAATCGTAAGAAAATCTCAAGCAGAACGTAATTAATATCTTAAGCTTTAGAAAATAATCAAATAATCCAGCAGCAAGAGGTCAATTTATATGGTTATGGTATCTTAATATGAGGTTAAAGATGTAAAAGGGCAAAATTTTTATCGACGTAAAATGTTCGGATTTTGAAATATAATTAATAAAAGGAGAATGCAGAATATGCAGAACTTTGATTTCAAATCACTCGCATTTAACCAAACCACTCAACTAACTATGTAAAGGTGGAAAATAAGTGCAGTCTTTATTCGAATCGGAAAAGGACTATGGAAAGCCAAGTGTGTGTTCATTTCGACGATATTCTGAGCGAAGAAACTTGAAAACCTTGAAATTAAATAACAGCAGACCAATGTGAAATTAGGCGAACTGATATATAAAACTGTATAATAAAAACTAACAATACTAAATAATAAAGTATGTATGTATGTATGTATGTATATGAAAAAAAATTTATTATTATTCCTTCTCTACCGAGTACATAGGATGTGTGTATGTGCGAACAATGTACAATTATAACGATCGCACATACACATATGCGTACATACATACACACCACAAACTGTAATATGCTCCACTTATGTATGTACATATGCACATACATGTGTATGTTTGTATGCATATATTTATATTTCAGCAAATCACTTCTTAAGTTTATCGCAAATGTTATAACAGTTAGTCGTATTTTGTCAGGTTACATGCCAATTAATCAGAACAATTGACAATTGTGTTCCGTTACATGTGTTGGGTGCTCATTTTAGGTTATTAATAATAACTGCTGCCGCTATAAATCTGACAACCGGCAAATAAAATGCCAGTGGGTAGTTGTTGGTAGAAACAAGTTGATACTTTTGCGCAATTTTCGTAAGACTTTAACAGTTACTCATTTGTCGTCGGCGATCGTCGTCGCCGAACCACACGCACTATGATCTATCTCTTACCTTCACTAATACGCACGCACACACACTCATGCACGCCTTTATGAAGTCCACAGTCTACACCTCCGCACCTCCTCATAGCTACTGGGGCCCATTAACAATGCTTTCTTTTGAGTGCACACATTGTGCTAATCATTTTTATTAATAAGCGCTGAACACTTTGCCTGAAATCTCGATTTCTTATCGAGCGTTTTGCCAATGACTTTATTTTCGTTTACCATGAGCACATTTTTTTTGTTAGACTTTTTTAATTTGCTCGTACTATACAAGTATTGAGTGCTGCCGCTTTTCCCTTGCCGTGCGTGTGTGTGTATGCAAGGCAATTTTTCATTTAGTTTGTGATCTGGTCATAATTGATGTAACCGGTGGTTTGTTTAACCACCTAAGAATTTAATTCACTTTTTTGTATAATTGTACAATTTTTGACAACTATATTGATTATCCGTTAGATTGTCGTCGTTAGATAGGTAGCAGGCTTAAAAGCGCAGTGGAAATGCTCAGTACACTATATAAAAGCTTATTATTATTTTTAAATTGATTACGCATTATATGTCAGACGGTTATTTTAATATGAAGTTTGCATCGCAGATAAATGTTATAAATAAAATTTAGACAGCCGGGAAGTAATATATTATCTTTGTGGAGGGCAGAGAAGGAGGGCTTTGTTTATAAAACTTATTTTTAACGATTCCATCAATTAAATAAAATGTACGAGAAGCAGCACAGACCATTGTGCTTGCGTCGCGCCGACGGTTTTTGCCTCCTGTTCGCTTAGCATTTCCACTATTCAGAGGAACATTTGAAGGCAATGTCCTTGCTTGTGTAAAGCATATGACTTAGTATATACTTACATTTGTAGTACATAGCAAGCAGCTTGATGTGTATTTAAATGCGCAGATGTGTGTGTGTGTATGTATGTACATTTGCTGAACATGAATGCAACCATAAAAGCACAACATTGTTAGTGTTTCTATTTTGAAGGCTAACATTAATATTTTAAAGGGCTTGAAGCGCACTCCAAAAGCTCGTAAAAATGAAAAATACCATTGAGATTTACATAGTTGCATATTTAAATGGATTTGTGAATGAATCACAGCGTATCTTTCGTAATGGCTAGATGGACAGCTAGCTGGAAGCGGCCGAACCCTAAAATGCACTACACTGCCCTGGAAGTATACCATATACATATGCATTTCCGAATCTGTAGCGTGACTCGATTTTGTTTCTAACCGAAATTTGTGCACAATTTTTTAAGGCAAATAAAAAGTTGTTTGTATATGTAAACTCGTGTGCGCTACAACTGCCAACATTGAGTTGTTATGCAATTGTTGTTGTTATCAGTGGTTTAAAGCTAATATTAAAAGACATAAATTAAAATTTAAAAAATATTTTATATAAGTTTTAGTTCAACAAGTTTTTCTTTTTAAAAATATTTGAATTCAAAAGTGAATATTAATGTATATATTTTATTTGGCTTTCAGATATCAGCCGATTAGCTCGATCGCCTTCGCCACTGCAATATTCTGGTAAGTTCTTCTTATTTGCTTATTAACTTATCCAATTGTTTAGTTAACTAAACGAGAACTTTCAACAATAAATTAATGTTGCACTTACGTCCACAAAATCTGCCTTTTAAATTAAGACCATTCAAACTATAATAAGATGAATATAAGTGCGGTAAAAATTGTAAATAAACCTGTGAGGTCACATTAACGTTTAGCCGCAATGACGTACAGAAATTTACCGATGGAGCACCTGATTTCTCTGTAAACTCGACTTAAGCTGTTCTTCCGTTTAAGAATTGAGAAAGTTTTTAATGCAAAGATAGCTGGCAGTGCAGCGCAACTTTGAGTAAGGAAACTGCCGTAGATCGCAAATCCTATTGCCGTTAGATGTGATACGACAACCTTATCAAAACTCCCAAGTATACGAGTACATGTGTGTGTGTGTGTGTGCGTGTGTGTGCAGGTATACATGCATCCATTTGGTTCATAAGAAATTTTGTATCGCTTGCCTCCCTCCCGTGTTCTTCACCAGCTCATCTACACGGCTGCGCTCGGACAGAGCAAGCTGGTGTGTGATAAATTTACGATTTGTCTTTCAATTCTGCACCATATGAAAATGCTAAACAGACCTTCGGACCAACAGACCTTCTGTTGCTGTTTACTGTTGTAAAACATCTGCTTTCATACACACTCGCTGCAATAAATATTCGTAGTTGGAAGCAGACTTTTTGAGGGCTCAAATGAAATCGAAATGAATCAATTTTTGTAGCTCATATTGTTTTCAACGATGAATGGTGGAATGAACATATTTATTTTATAGTACTATTAGATACTTTTGTGTGAGCAGCACACGCAGATGTGTACACACACGTACTTGAGAAGCTGAGACGGACCTCGCAACCCTTGCCTGGAGTGCTTAGAGCAGCACGCGAGTGCACACACTGTAATAAACCCGCGTGCAAACAAACATATAACTTAATAAATACACACATATCTAGGCACATGTATGGGGATTAGGAATACTGGTAGGGTTCCCTACATTGGCTCGACCTTTCCATCGCCGCCGTTGTTGTCGTAAACGACACGCGTCTTTCGCACTTTCGATTTTCACTCCTTTAATAATAAGAAAATGAAATCTGTCTCTACTTAATTTGGCTTTAAGAAGGTTCGTATAAACTTGTATGCACGGATCAAAGGATGATCTCGATAAAAGACTGTTGGCAAGATGTGACAGTTCAGTTATCGTAATAGTCAATCGATTGAGTGACGATCCTGGGGGTAGTGTTTCTTCAAATAAAATCTGAGGAGCTGCCGTCGGCGTTTTTCACCTTTCGTCTGGGTAAAGTTGGTTGGTGTCGATCCCCATTTTGGATCGGGGCAATATGCACCAAGGATGGCAAACTCTGCATACATTACTATAAGCGCCCTTAGGCCGTCATTAGGTCCATTGTGCTCCTGTCAGATTCTAATTTTCTTCTAAAAGTTGTACTTTAAGAAAGAGTTCTTATTTTGATATGTTGGCGATAAACAACGAAATTAATCGTACAATAAGTCTACTACCACTGGGTGCGAGACCTGCACAAGAAAGTAGGCTGCTCAAACCTTTGTATGAGGTTTCGGTTGGCAATCGATTTAGCAAGTTCAGTAAGGGACATTTTAAATTTGGGTATGTTTTCAGATATTCATACATACTCGAATTTATCTATGTATATATTCATGAATATGAGAGCGAATTATCAAGAATAACTGCATAAAGTAGAGTATGTAAATTTAATATTCAACCGGTTCATTATTATTCATAACCCTATTCGATGTGTGTGGGGTCAAGAATTTGCAATTTACACTTGGTTGCATTTGGGGTTTCGTGACGCGAGCGCGAGTGTGAGATTTCTATAAATCGGGGTATCCTTTCCGTTGCTAAATTTGGACTTTTTATGAGAGCACATATTGAAGATGAGTTTGTTAATATGTACTCTCATCAGAAATTCGCACAGAAAATGCTAAAAATATGTGTGTCGGTGTGCATACAGTTATGTTTGGTGTGCCTTTTTCGCTCTGCCCAACATGCAGAGATTTGGTAATATTTGCTGCTATGTGATCGAATTTACATATTTTTTCAGATTCCTTTACCAGTGCAGGCGCTCTTATTGGGATTGCATGCAAACCATGCAAACTCGGGCCACATGCTACTGACCAATCTGTGCTTTTATGAGATAAGCCCAAAGAGCAGTGGCGTATGCCAAAATGGCTCAGCTGAGGGGTGTGTGTATGAATTTCTGCTACAAGATGACAACAAATAGACGGATAAAAGACTTTCTTTAAGGCTTCTAATTAGAGCTGTATCTCAAGCGTAGATTTTCTCCCCCCTTGTGCATAAAATCGCATATTGCAAGTGGCGCCTCTGCTTTTACCTCTTCGCATATGTAGTCAGCACATCATCTGAATACCAAATATTGCACGTACATTTATTTATAGGAGTATGTAAAAATTGAGAATTCTCCAAATGGTCAGCAACATATGGGAATGGAATTACGACCACGGTCCGTTTAGTCAAGTAAGTCATCAAATCTGAAAAGGACTTTACTGGCACATGATAAATGAATGTATGCGTGAGTGTGTGTATGTAAATGTGTATTGCAAGAGCTTACATACAAGCGTTTACTATTCAAATTCTATTCAAATATTTCACAGTCATTCAGTTGCCGTCACAATGAGGAGATACCATGTATATATGGTATGTACAAGTACATACATATATATGCAAATATATACGTATCAATATGTGGCTAGTAATAACTTAAAATATTAAAACAAAAGTTAGACTATCACTGCGGTCCCAAGAATACTTTTCTATCTATTCGCACAGTTGTCAAAGCAAAGATTCGGAGTACACCACTGGACGAGTAACTCGAATATATTTTTTATTGAATAAGCTCTATTAATCATGTCACTGTGCAGTTTACTTAAATTAACTGTATCAGATCCTTAATTATCGTCTACAGGGTTGAACATTTCTAAATGACTGATCGAAGCCTGTTACACTTCTGCTAAGTATTATTTGGGCTGTGCGCCTAAATATTAATCGACCTATATATAGCGTTATACAAAGAGCTTAAATATTCTATTGGTAAGTTTCTGGACCAGATTGAAAAGACTAAATGCATGAGCAAATTTATTGCACTAAGAGATTGATCGTGTGGTGCCCTGATCTGGCAGTTTACCACTGTTAAATACCGTACTTTTTATTTGAAAGCCTGAGACAAGTAGCGCAATTGAATAATTTGTACATTTGAAAGTTTTTATATGATTTTGGGCCGCTACTGTAGTTCTTTAAAATTCAAAAACTCAAACATGTGAATGGTGAAATGAAAAGAAAACATCACAACAGCATTTCGTCTCCAATATTGCCAATCTCATGCCCACTCCCGTCGCACGAAACCGAGAAACCGAAATATGCACATTTTCACAAAACAACTGTCGATTGCGACATCGGTGCGCCTGAACGTGGGTAGTTATTTGTGAAAGATTTTCACATATTTATGCCGCTGCAGAGGGTAGGGGAGCGAAGGTTGAAACTCAGCGGACTATGAAATTGACCACACTTAAAAAAATGTAAATGAAAAAAACATAGTGTGTAGTTTTCTTTTGCGTTTTCCTCCGCATTTCGCATAGGGAAATTGTGTTTGCTTATGCTAAAATTATGCAAAAGGTGTAAGCATTGACGTTTCAACCACTTGTGCCATGTGTGGGTTCCGTCTCTTCGCAGGGATGCAACTCACACACCCGCACACTTTAAATATGCTCACATGTGCCTTGTCGAGAACTTTGCATAGTTAAGTTGAATTTTTATGAAGCGTTAAACTAACACAAAATGGTCATTTACAAAGTAACCAAAGTCTGAAAGGAGTTTATGTGCTTCGCATAAGTAAACATATCGATTGAGCTCACATCAAAGGGCACGTGCGAACTGAAAGGGTTTTCAAGTATTTGCCCGAAAATTTACATTTCCATTTTACTTTTAATTTGCATTTATATTTCTTAAATAGTTACCATTAAGGCATCAAATTAACTCCTGCTCTTCTTTCGTTTTAACTCCTCAGCGTCCGATTGTGGCGACAATAATTCGGTAGCGGGGAATTCCAGTGATCGCTGCCTATCACCGCAGAGTCCGCCAATATTTGCTACGCCACAGGACGAGCACCAACAACATCAGCTGCCAACTCTAAAGTCCCACTTGTTGGATGTGTTGAACCGAGGCGACAATGCGTTAGAGTGCAAATTAGGTGTTGCAAAAGATGTTGAGCCTATGCGTGACACAGAGTCCGGCGCGCTTAACTTAACCAGTGAGAGCTCGCGACAAAGTTTGCAATCACCGTCACCGTCTTTGCAATCGCTGCGTGCGGGCCGTTCCTCACCTACAACGTCCGCTTGCGAAAGAGCGGCACCCTGTTTTACCAACAACACATATCCAATGCCAAATATTTCCACGCAACAGGCCCAACTCGCTGTTGCGGCAAGCGCAGGTCTGGGCCTTGGCAGTCCATTGTTTTCCCACGCCCTCAACACTACGATCTCACCGCAAGACTTTACACAGTTCCAGCAGGCACTACAACAGCAGCAAACCGCTTTGCACCAACAATTCCAGAGCTATATAGATATTTTGCGCAGCGGTTCGTTGGGCATATCGCCAGATGATCCGAGCATGGCCACTCAAGTTGCTGCCGCTCAGTTCCTATTTCACAGTCGTGTACAGGCGCTTACTCAAGCAACCCAGCAACTGCAGTCTCTCCAGAAGCAACAAGAATTTCAGAAACAATCCCATCTCCAGCACCAACAACAACAACGAGAAGAAACTTCAAAATCTTGTAGCTTGCACACCTCAACGCCAGCCCATACGCCCGTACAAAGCCCCGCGTCATCTCCACTGCCGTTACAAACGCATTTTAATATGAACTCGCATAGTCAAATCACGCCGCCCAACCCGGGCACTAGTCTGAAGGTGAGTGGGATTCTTACGCCGAATGCAATCAGCGGCGCCCCACAAACACCTCAAATGCTAAAACATGCCGGAGCTGCTCAACGCTTGGCTGGGGAACCATCGCCAGAGGAAACCACAGATCTCGAAGAGCTTGAACAGTTCGCTAAAACTTTTAAGCAACGTCGCATCAAGTTGGGCTTCACGCAAGGCGATGTCGGATTAGCCATGGGCAAACTCTACGGCAATGACTTTTCACAGACGACGATTTCGCGTTTTGAAGCCTTGAATCTGAGTTTTAAGAATATGTGCAAGCTGAAACCATTGTTGCAGAAGTGGCTGGAAGACGCCGATCGAACGATACAAGCGACTGGAGGGTAAGTGTTTCCAAAACTTACAAATCAAGTACATAGACTTCAATTAAGAACTCGCGATATCGTTTTTAGGACAATAAATAATGCTAAAAATTGTAGAAAGCTTTAGACTCAAATCGAATAACTAAATTGGGGGTTTTCTAATTTCTATATAGTATATATATATGTATGAAATTAAAATTTTTCACCTAACGGTTTTGCTTATTGGTGTTTTCCTTGTATTACTTTAATCCACAGCGTTTTCGACCCAGCTGCATTGCAAACAGTGAGCACGCCCGAGGTTATGGGGCGCCGCCGGAAAAAGCGCACTTCAATCGAAACATCGATAAGGGGGGCTCTTGAAAAGGCCTTCATGATGAATCAGAAACCCACAAGCGAGGAGATCAGCCAATTGGCCGACCGACTATGCATGGAAAAAGAGGTGGTGCGCGTTTGGTTCTGCAACCGACGACAGAAAGAGAAACGCATCAATCCGTCAATGGATAGCCCGACCGGAGACCATGGCAGTGAGTCGCCCTACATGATGATGCAGTGAAGCTTTTCCTTCCATGCATAAACCAGAAGTAAGACTATCACTAAGCCTACAACTGTTTCGTATTAAATTAGGCCAACTAAATAATGATCCGGATATACATATGTACACCATCCCTATATACATATGTACATACATACCTCTGAATGGATGTGAGTATGTTTAACACTCGTATATCTGTAAAACGAAGGGCAAATATGAATTGTACATACGTATGTGCATACATATCTACGCACTGGGCTTAAAGCCTTCCATGAGAAAGGTTAACACACATACACACGCAGATATGTATACGAATCCCTAAGGTGACTTGCATCTTGAATTGGCAAAGTCTTTAGTGTGTGTTTGTGTGCTGTATTAAAAGCATTCGTTTAACAATAAACAATAATAAAATATTATATAAATTTAAATGTATATAGGCAATATGGATATTTTATGAAGAAGCTGAATATGTTTTATTACTAAATGTTAACTAAAGTATTTTTGTGTGCAACGTTTATGAAATAAGTTACTATTCTACTAACTGGTGTTTATTTGTAAATGTCAATGTTTCTGGTGAATTTTTGTTAGATAGGTAAATAGTATTAAGAAATAACGGAATAACCAGGGGTATTTTGCAACAGTCTCATCACAAACCACTGACACACATGTATGTGTAAATCATTTTTGAAATACAAAATACAACAAAAAGTGAACTTCGTATGTAAAGATACATACTCGTATGTATACATAAATTACATACATACATAGGTAAGATCGAAAAAACTGTATTTCGTCGAGACATTTTGTGCAGCATAAATCGTACTTTAAAGGGATATCAACATATTTAGGATAAGTTCAAGAAGTATACCATATACATTGTATATATATGTATGTGTGGATCGTCTAATCTATGTACAATACGTATGTAAGAACTTTAGTCTAGAATAAGTTAGTAGCATTTAGATTATATTTATTTGTTTTAATACTGTGATAATAAGTAGAGGTTTATTGAAAATCTTCATAAGGAAAATTCCTGTATAAATTCCACGAAGATAATTTATTGCAGTAAAATAAAAGTATGAAAAAAAAACAACAAAAGCTGCGAGTATTTATTTTAATTGTGTTCAATTAGTGAGTGCAACAAGCAGTTGTTGTTGCAACACCCCTTCTTTGGTGGTAATGTGACTTAAATGTGGAGTACAAAAAATATAACTGGTATTTGTACTGTACGCTACGACAAGCTACTTCCCATATTTTAAATGCGACTTAGACTAGACTTGAGCCCAATACCAACCCAGGCTAAGGGTTTCTATATGGTAGTGGTAGTGGGCGTATAAAAGCCTTTAGAGCTTCCTCTCTTTTCGCCGAACACGTAATGCTGTTTTGAAATTAGTTAGATAGCAACTAAGTTTCGATGAAACTATACATGAAAATTATAAATAAGGATACATTACAGCTCTATTTGTGAAACCCTCTAGTTAAATTATCAACAATTCTCAATGACAAGAATCCACATGTTTTCACCTAATTTTGTCCAGAATAGGAACTTGATCTCCATATAACATGCATATATTGTATGTATGTATTTCCACAATTATACTTTAGTGTTTTATAATAAGAATGTGCATAAATAAGAATGGAATGAACTTGGGAGCAGCGTTGCGAATTTTTTAAGGGGGTGCATTTGTTTCGTCAAGTAAAAAAAACCCTATTTTTATTATTTTTTTTTCGTTTAAAAAATGAAATATTTTATTAAAATTTTTTATTATTCCAAAGACCATATTTTACAAAGATTTTGAGAAATTTTCAAAGGAAAATTACGACCACGTTTCTGGCTGTCTCTCGGAAAAAAGGTGAATCCGCGTTGACAGCAGAACTTCTGACAGGATCATCAATAGTTAAAAGCAAAAAATACGTGTTTGAAATAAGACCGCAAACTAGGTATTGGATGAAGACAAAACAAAAATAGTGAAAATTGTAATTTTAGCAGATATTTTTCCAAAAAAATGTAAATTTTGGTATAAATTTCTCGAATTTTTTGTTTTTTAATTATTGGTAATTGATCGAAAAAAACCCTTCGTTCAAGACCTTGAAATTATATCTCAAAGGCCTGTATATAATTTCATTAAGATCGGTTGAGTAGTTGGCGGGAAATCTTGACAACCGACTTTCAAAACACAGTTTCGAGAAAAACGCGTTTAAAGTTTTAAGTGACTGTATAGCTGACCTCGAGCGCGCAACTTTTCAAAGTTGTATCGCCAAAACTATTACTGGGATCAGCTTAAGAATTTAAGACAATGTTCTAGAGATGTGATAGAATTAAATAAGACCATAAAAAAAAATTTGTTTTGAAGCCGTGAAACCCATGCAACCTCCTAATTCAAAATTTTTGGATTAAAATAAAGTTTTAATTTTGAAATCCCGTCGTTGGAATTATTATTTTTATTAAAACTCGAAATAACCTTAATTTTACGATTTAAATTTCTTTTTTTAATTCTTAATTTATGTTTCGGATTAAATTTTTTTTTTTTCAATCCGGTCCGGTATATCAATAATCACTTTTTTTTAGCAGTTTTGGATAATTTTTTCAAAATATTTAAAAAATCATAAACTAACTTTTGACACAACCGGATGCTATAAATCCAACTTATATTAATATTTATTTGCTTTTAAGTGAAGTCAATAATGCAAAATTACAATACTTAATATTATATACATATGTACATATTATATAACTTTAGTTCGTGTATGGATTAGTGATTTGAAAAAATACTTCTAGATAAGACAAACAAATAAAAAATATATAAAAATAATATGGCGCAATAAAAACAAGTGGAGCAAGCAGTGGTTAATGTAAAAATACATACATACAAACGTACACATGTATATGTTTTACGGTAATAGTGAATGTACATATGTAAATATAAGTATGCATGCATATGTAATTATACATATATAGCACATACAAGTATATACATACATGTCTATGCATTCATTATTGCAAGAAGCGCATGCAGACGCGTCAGTTCCAAGAACGCTTCTTCGCTTGGAAATTCAGCACCGAAACACGCAAATATTATACTTACTTATCATACATAATGCGGGAAATCTGAATTTGTTCGTAGCACGCAATGATTCCATTTTCATCATTTCTGTCATAAGATATGGACTTGCATAAATTCGCCCCTACTTTGCATACAAACAAGTGTTGCACGTAGAAGTTGGCGTGTGTGCGTTCGTGTGTTCTTGTGTTCGTATCGCGTTTGATCGTAGGCACAATGCGATCGCAGAGCGAGAAGCGTCTTTAATTACTCAAAGCTTCCGCCTGACGAGCTCATAGTAATATTCCCCTACCCCTCCCTCCACTCAAAAACAGGGGATCTTGGGCGATAATAATCGCGCCTATTGCCCACAGTTGTTGCAATTACAAACACATACACGCATGCCATGCTATGTACACAGTTACGTTGTCGAAAAAATATTTGCATATTACTTTTTATTTTAACTATGCATATCCATGCATAAATATGAGTACATACATATGTACATCTGCACAAGCATACACGCTCGCATAATGGTGATGAATATGTAACGACGAGTTCATGCTCATTTTTGCATGCACTTTGACAGAACAACAAATGAGCGCACACACACATATGCACATTGTTTATATGTATGGTATATAAGCTGAGCTACGAGACTCCAGGGGGCTATAAAGTTTCGCTTTGTCTCGTTAGGTTCTTCCAGTCATCATATAGCAATTTTAACGATTTGCCACCGAATTTGTAGCTACTAATGCAGATGGTGTGTGTGTGTGTATAGCGATTTGCGCTTCGTCGCTATTGTCAAAATTAGAATGATAATAATAAATGCAGCGAATTGTGCTGTGTATTGGATGTAAATAATAGTAATATGAGATTACTTGTTTGAGAGGGTGGTGGGTGTGCTCATTTACTTTACGACCGCACTTCATGGCATTTGCCTATGCGAATTTCCATACTCACACACTCACATGCATGCGCATAGGTACTCATAAAGGCGGCAGTAGCAGTTTGCTGAAGTTTTATGAGAAATGTTAGCCAACCTGTGCATTGGAATTGCCGCTCAGATGCACTCATTTGTGATTGCGAGTCGCTTATCGCTCGGCTCACAGTCGTTGCCATCAAACGACCGTCAAGATGATGGCGCTAATTAAACGCACACAGCGGCGCTTTGCTCATCGCCCATTGCCCGCCCGGTCCTCCCGCACCGACTGAGGTGAATAATTCATGGAAACGAATGCGAAGCCATCATTTATGAGCGGCTACAAGTTGGCGCATATACTATTAAAATCTAATCTATGGGGGTGTGCATATGCATTCATTTGTACCTCTGTATGTATGTATATATATTTGCATGAATATGCATTGCATGCAGCCGCTGAGCGACCACTTACTTTGGCGAATATATTCGTGAAGTTATCACCGTTCCGCGCATTCGTTCATATGCTTTCATTATTTCACCGGTAAGAAAGTGTACATACATAAATATTCGTTAAGACTGCACACTTTGAATGTGTGCGCATGTGTCAGAGGCGTCTGCCGCTATTCTTCGCTCTTGGCTGCTCATTCACGTATTTAGCCAGGCGAAGATATCAGTTCTAACCCAGTAAATACCGGTGGATCTGCACATGTTGATTGCATTCGACTTGAATTGATATTCAATTTCGTTGTTCGTTGTTGTGCTTGCACCTCCCACAAGTATCGGATCTTAGCCAATAAGACATAGTAAGGGGCAATTCTGTAGGGGTGTGTCACTACCCTGCATTGATTATATATTTATAATCACTCAATCAGAGCATACAAAATTCTAAAATTTACGAGTATATGTTAATTTACAAACATATATATGTATATCACTTCCCTTCCTTGGTTTAACTTCGTTTTACTGGCGTCGAAAAGGCGCTTCTCTTCGATATTCCGATGACTCATTAATATCGATAAATGATTCGACTTTTTGTTCACTTTCCATTTGCTATACTACTACCATGCTAACAATATTAATAACAAATATTTCGTTACGTTAAACTTTTAATCGAAATTTCGGAAACCTAGAAACCCTACTTTAGAGCATACAATAAAGGTGAAGCAAATTGTTAGCAACTAAACCAAATACAAGAACAAGAACGCCATTACGCCGTGACTCTAATTTATAGAAAGCAATAATTATAGATAATGAGACACCCTCGTACTTCCGAATTTTGTGTTTGGGATGAATTTATACTCCCAGTCCTAGTCCTGCTAAAGCCACTCGAGAGAATGTTTGTGTCATTACTATTTGCATCTACGTACGGATGTGAGTAACTGAGCTTTGGATATAGCTAAATTTCGAGTTAAAACAAGTTCGCGTTTCCGCCGCAGCGCCTATGATTATGCTTCCAAAGAACCTTGAATTTCAACAGAAACAATTTAGTTCATTATGAGTTCCCACGTTATGGAAAATAAGCAATGACTTCTGAACTCTCTCCACACTCCTCCCGTTGCCGGGTAAAGTGTAGTAGGGGTTGATGTAAAACCGCATAATTGCAAATCGATTATTCGAGCACACAATATTGAATTTATAACGAAAAGCGATACAGTTGCATTGCCATGAAATGTGACTAAGTATGTGATCTACTCGCAATTATTTAATGCCCCTATGTACTCAAGCACGTACATATGTACATACACGCATACCACTTCATGAGTTCATAAGTTCTACGATATGAATGCCGTCAATAAAAAATCAAATCAATTTCAAATAACTTTTGCGTGTCCTTAACCAAAAAAATAAAATAAAATAAAAACAACAACAACATTAGACCCATTAATGCTTATTAGTCCGTGAAAGGAAGCATATTAAATTTAATGAGTTTTATGAGAGAAAAAACGACCAAGTACAAACAATTATATCTCGGTGAGTGCAGGTGTTTACTGTGCAAGGAGAAACACATGTCGACTAGTAAAAGCTTCGATTTTTCCATTCCATATGCACACATGCAATACGTTAACACTTGTGCCTCGCACATACAATTGTACTACATACCAGCATACATACGTACACACAGGACTCTGGCAAGTCCCTTT